TGGAAATTCCTTTAACCACGGTGTTTCAGAAATTTTGTCTTCACCTAATACTTCAAATAAATTTGACATTTCAGTCTGATTTTACAATCATTTGGAACATTTCTATCTTTTCTGAAACACATATTGAAAAACATCTTACCTTTCAAATTACACTTGTACACGTCTTACAAGTTGTGATCTAAACACGTGAATATTCCAAGTTTTATTTAGAAAAGTAACCTAAAACATATCTGTGTTGTAAAAAAAGTGTGTCCTACAGAATTGAACCAAACTAACAACTGAGAGAGAGAGAATAAGTTGACAACTTTACGAGAACGTAAGAACACTGTTGCATGACCTAATAATGAAAAAAATGACACGTGTTTTCTAAATCCTTGAAAATATAATTACATCACAAGATGTGACACCTGAAGATTATACAATTTATGACCAATTATAGTTACTCAAAAACTATCTCACTTCCTCTGTAAAAATGTATTAGACTATGTAACAGTATTCTATATCAGTATGACATAATATTTTTATCTGCTTGACTGGGATCATTGACTTCGCAAACCCAGCAATTCTCCTTTCTATGTGACAATTAACCTACTTCACGAGAAAAACAACAACATACATGGCAGATATTGAAGGACGTTAACTGGAGGAAGGACCATACCTTATTAAAAACTAGCAGTCAAATGCTTATACAAAGGTTATACAGGTGTATTTTTCTTTAAATGACCATTTTTGAAGTTTCATTTTTATAATTAATGTATTGTATAATATTTATTCGCCGTGAAAAAGGATGTTTAACTAGACCTCTAAACAATATACAATAATTTAATTGTAAAAGTCTATGTCAATAACTATGTTTAACCAATACTATTATAGAAAATTATATCCTTACCTTTCACAAATCTTTGTCTAGAACTTGTTTCTTGCTGACTAATTCAAATTTTGTACAGATATACTATCAACAATGTATGTGAGTAAAATCACAAACTGTACATAACACAGTTGTCACACATACTGAAACATATAAAAACTCATTCGGAACAAAGGCTAGGAAAATGTGCTTCTATTTTTTTTCATAACATAATAAACATCAAAAGTGCAATAAAGGTACCAATACTGTAAAGAAAGACATACTGTTTCAAGAATTCTAACAATAGTGGTTACATACAAAATTTCAAGTATTATGATCTTAGATCAACTGTTCAGATTTATAGTTAACCATTCATCGGAAGCTTGCAAGAAAGATTAATGCTGATGTTCATCGTAAATATTAGAAGTGAGAAACATTTTCATCAGAAGAGATGACATTTGTAAACATAGCTTTCTCTTTCTCAGGATGTGATGGCCCTGAAAAGAATCTTTAAATCTCAATTGTATAAATGAAGTCTTTTTTTTTCAGATTAATATCCTCATTTGAAAAACACAAAGAAGCCGATTTCACAGTATGCCTACAGTATATCCAAGTGTTCTAACATGTAATTAATCAATTATAATAAATCTTTGTCAAGAAAACATAAAATGTTTCTTCATTTAGAAACTCTACAAAAATATATCATGCACTTGAAATTCATAAATGAATTCACTATCCACTATCCAATATAACTTTTGACCCTATCGCTTAGTCTGCCACTACATCATGTTATTAGGAAGAACTTTTCGACTTTGGTAAATTCTAAGGAACACATACATTTAGCTGATTTCTAATCCTGTGAATGTAAGTTGAATCAGTAATAAATGGGCGGTAAAGAATGATTTGTAAATAAATGTTATCGCTCTTATTGCTATGCATTCTGATGTTCCTGTAATTCAAGAAAGTCTCGTATGTTTTTCGCTTAGCATAGAATAATGATATTTTCTTTGTGTGTGTCTCTGAAAAACTTGAAGGAATACTGTGTGGTTGAAACCCTACTATAGGAAGGAACTACCTTACCGACTATGGTAATGCTTTTCTATGCTTCAAGGTCCCTATAATTATCGTAGTAATGTTCTTTTAAGGTCAATGGGTACATACTATAGTTACTGTCGAAATTAGGTGAAGGTCATAGTTGTTTACTTCCGGCTCCATACGACCATAGTATACCACTGACATTTATGGATTTTAATGGACAATACTTTTTAATTGTTTTCTTTTGTCCATATAAAGTCTTTTTATTTAGATATAAAGGTGTGCAAAAATAGAGAAAAAAATATACAGTGAAACATACAAAGAACCAGTTAGAAATACAGAAAGACAACAGAAAAGATATATATACTTGAAATTGATTTTGAAACTGTATGTTAGATTCATCTACTCTTGTATAGCTTAATTGAGTCAATCGCTCATTTCGTTAACACTTGTACGGGTAAATGGTTGATATTTTTGCTCAACATCATTTACATATTATACAGGGTATCTTGAAATTTTGTTAAAATTTATTTACTTGTGCTCCAGAAACGTTGTTTAATGTTTGACGTGTAAATGTTAATAAATTTGTTAACATAATTTAAAGACACCATCTATATAATAAAATAACCACGGAAAATCTAAACCTCAAATAATATAATATATTTTACTTAGAGAGAACTTTATTTCCGTTGGCCATCTTGTTGAAATGTTTAATGAACACACATATCTCTCAAACGCGAACCTTTTAGTAAACTCTGAGCCACAACCAATCCAAGTCACATGACACCAAAGTTTTGTACTAAAACATTCTGGAGAACATGTTGTTGTTTTAGCGCAAAGCTACACAATAGGCTATTTGTGCTCTGACCATCATGAGGAACCGAACCCTGGATTTTATTGTTGGAAGTTTGTAAACTCACCGCTGACCCACCGGAGAACTTCTGGAGGACTAATTCGCAACAAATATCATAAGATCATCACCACATTATTTATATCAAAGCCTACAAAAGTCTATATTTATCAATATCCTATAGACATTAACTTTCGTTCAAGGAACTGTATTGAACAAATCTAAAAAATCCTTATTTATATTTACTTACACTTCATCTGACCTATCTCTATATGTAAAATAATAATGAATATTTTCAATGACTTTTTTCTTTAAATTTCAAATAAGCTTCGTGATAAACCGTAGCTATTTCGATATCATATTCTGAAAAAAATTTTCCCCTTTCTCTGTATAATACAGACCATTATCAATGAATCACAGTTCTCTCCCCTTTTAAGCTTGACGCCATAGTACTGTAGCTAGTGTAGTTCAATAATTCAGTCCCGTTTATTAGCAAGTTTTCTTCAGGTAATATCAGTCTTCCACAAAAAATGAAAACAACAACAAAGTATAAGAGACGAGAAGTGAACAAAGGCGTTTATTTTGGTGTCACTCATCCTGCTTTTTTTTCTCCTCGAGTTTACTGTAAACAACTGAGTGATTAGTATATATATGTAAACAAGCTAAAACTTGTTATTGACGTAAACAGACTAAAATGTGTTAAAGTGTATATAATTATCGTCTTACTAGAATTTATCTTAGTTTTAATAAACTACATCCTAATTATAAAAACAACTTTCAACCTATTAACAAGTTTGCTACACACTCTCCTATGTATATTCTAGTCATATAACAAGATAAACTAACTACCTTGAATGTTTAAGCTTACTTATCCCACGTTTATGCATAGAAATGTACAACAAAATGCGGCTATCTTAGCCATTCCCTAATGTGCGTTTAGTGTTATGTGAAAGGTCACCAGTTACTTAGTTTTTCACCATTTTCTGACGTCTCTGAACAATAATGTAAATGCATTAGTATGCCCGTTAGCTTGGTTTGGTTTGTTTCGAATATTCGCGAAAAGCTACTCATGAACTATCTGCGCTATTCATTCCTAATGTATAGAGTAGAGGGAAATCAGCTAGTCAACAACGCCCACCTCGCATTAATGGACAGTTCTAAACGCATATAGAGATTTTACCTTCACTCTTATAACGCACTCACAGCCTCAACATGCGGTATGTTTTTTTTTATTAACAATGGGATCCAAACTAAAAACTTTCGGCTAACTACTACACAACACTCAGCCAACCCATTAGCAAACTGTAATATACAAGTGAAAAAACAAAACAAAACATTAAGTTAAAACTTTTAACTCCTAGCCATTATGTGAATAAGGTTCACTGCATTCTAATTTCCAGTCTCAAGAGCTTCCTTTCTCGGTATTAATTTAGTTGTTTTTTTTTTCCTTTCGTTAGTTCTGTGAAGATGTTGTTCCTTTTTAGCGAGTTAAGGAGGTAAACCCTAAGGAAATGAGCGAGCGCCATCTGTAGGGTATTTATTTATTCATTTAGGTTTCTAAATTACTAGAATAATTCGATTTCTCTTCTTTATGTACATTGAAAAAATAGACAACACAGTCTTTCAGAATAACATGATTTGTGAAGTTTCTCTTGAAAAATAAACAATAACACGTAATCTCAGAAAAACATATAATACTGTGTGACAAAACTTAGCATTTCTTATAAAGGAAAACATAAATTCAGCCTTTTGATAGGGTTCTTCAATATATACTGTCATTTCTTATTCAACAAAGCTACAGAAACACGTATTTTTATTGCACATACCGTTAGAAATGTCCAGGCCAAAGTTTATATTTGCTTCCAATGCGTGCATACACGTTATTATCCTACATCAAAATAAAACTAAAAAAGACTTCGAGAACTGAACGTGTCTAAAAATGTAAGCGAAAAATATAATCGTAAATCAATGAAAAACGCGCTCTGCACTTTGAGGCCGTGAGTGCGCTAGAAGAGTGATGGTCAAATCCCACACAAGGCTCAGACAAGAGTAGCCCATGAATTAACGATGGGCGTTGTACATTAGCTTGCTTTTCCTTTTATACATCAGTTAAAATACAGGGGGCAGCTATACGTCGATAGCCCTTGTGTATCGTTTTAAGTAAGACTATGAAACACACTTTTTCACTCATATGTTAACTGTAATGATAACTTTGCGTTAAGTTTATATGTTGTAGAATATTTTCAAAATAACTTTTAAAAAGCCTACCGTTGTTAGTGACGATTACGTCTTCCGTGAACGCTGGTTTAGAACTACCCACAGTTGCTGGAACTGAGGGAAGCAAAGAGTTGTTGGTATTTTCATTTTCTCTGGAGGAGGAGGCAACTGAAAAGATCAAATTACATTTCATAACACACGGACAGTATACATCAATAGGACGAAACAGCGTCACAGCAAAGGAAGACGTTATAAACCATAACAAAACAAAGTAACGTACTTTCAGTTCTTTAAAAGGGTGAATGCACATTTTGATTTGCATATGACGTAACTAGCTAAAACTTAAACTACGAATAAAAATGGTTACATTTTACGGTTTGATTCAAGAATCTTACACCATAAGTTAGCGTTTGAATAACACTTTATATGGTGTAACTTACGGTCCTGATGAGCTGTGACACTAAATGGAAGTAAATAATGTAGATGAAATGCTATTACACACACACACTTGTTTATGGAAGCTAGAACTGACGGACAAGAGGTAAGGTAGTGAGTTTACACCATAAGTTAGCGTTTGAATAACACTTTATATGGTGTAACTTACGGTCCTGATGAGTTGTGACACTAAATGGAAGTAAATAATGTAGATGAAATGCTATTACACACACACTTGTTTATGGAAGCTAGAACTGACGGACAAGAGGTAAGGTAGTGAGTTTACACCATAAGTTAGCGTTTGAATAACACTTTATATGGTGTAACTTACGGTCCTGATGAGTTGTGACACTAAACGGAAGTAAATAATGTAGATGAAATGCTATTACACACACACTTGTTTATGGAAGCTAGAACTGACTAGTAGTGAGTTTACACCACCCATCGCCAACTGTTCAGCTACTCTTTATCAATGAAAAGTGGGATAGACAACATATTACAACATTCCCACGGGTGACAGAACAAGCAACTTTGGTGACGGGATTCGAACTTCCGCTTTAACTACCAGACCATGCCAGTTCTTTCTTCATGGAAATCAGTAACGATCCAATTTTAAAAAGTGACGTGATATAAATAACTATCAATCGTATTGTAATGTAATACAATTCACAGGTCATATTTTGCCAGTTCAGGAGTTCCACTCCACAAGTCTTAACACTGTAATAGTCAATAGTCTTGACACAGTAATACTCAATAGTCTTGATACAGTAATACTCAGTAGTCTCGACACAGTAATACTCAGTAGTCTTGACACATTAATCCTCAATAATCTTGACACAGTAATACTCAATAGTCTTGACACAGTAATACTCAGTAGTCTTGACACACTAATACTCAGTAGTCTTGATACAGTAATACACAATAGTCTTGACACAGTAATACTTTATAGTCTTGACACATTAATACTCAATAGTCTTGATACAGTAATACTCAGTAGTCTTGATACAGTAATACTCAATAGTCTTGACACAGTAATCCTCAATAGTCTTGACACAGTAATATTTAGTAGTCTCGACACACTAATACTCAGTAGTCTTGATACAGTAATACTCAGTAGTCTTGATACAGTAATACTCAATAGTCTTGACACAGTAATATTTAGTAGTCTCGACACACTAATACTCAGTAGTCTTGATACAGTAATACACAATAGTCTTGACACACTAATATTTAGTACATTTAGTTATTTATGGTTTGGTTTGAATTTTGCGCAAAGCTACATGAGGGCTATCTACGTTAGCCGTCCCTAATTTAGCAGTGTAAGACTGGAGGGAGGGCAGCTAGTCATCAATAACAACGAATAGTGGGATTGACCGTCACATTATAACGCTCCCACGGCTGAAAGGGCAAGCATGTTTGGTGTGACGGGGATTCGAACCCGCAACCCTCAGATTACGAGTCGAGCGCCCTAACCACCCGGCCATGTCGGGCTAGTTATTGTAAAAGTTGTAAAAGTAACTCCATAATATTTCATAAGGAAAGTTCCTATAAATGAAATATTTGCTTTTATTATGTGTAAACTTTTCGATAGGTCGTTTTGGTTTGCTAATTTGGTTTACATCTACTTGTGTCTAGGTTTAAAAAAAAAAACTGATCATTTTGTTTAGAATGAGAATGTATATTCTACCCGAATCAGGTCATACTCGCAAGCTTATTGAGAATTAGTAATATCAGTGTGTCGGTTAAAATTACTTACATTGTTACCAATGGTAAACACATGTTAAAGCCTGTGTTTACTTTCGCTGTATCGGCCTTTGGCCGTTGTGCGCGACCAGTGAGGGCCAAGTTCACACGGACATTTTCCTCCAGTAAAGCCTGTGTTTTGTGTGCGAAAATGACTGGCTTGAAACCTAAAGAGCTCGTGACAACCAACAGTATACAGTAAGTTATCTTTGCTGCTACTGTCGCGATGTTGGATGTTTTTTAAGGAGTACTGGTGTTTTTTTACTCTTGCTTTTAGGCAACGTTCTTTAAAATGGCTGTCCCATATCTACTATCTTAAAGAGATCGTGAAAAGTACCAAATACAAACCATTTAAAAACGAAAACAAATTATAGAAAATTAACCCTTCATCATGCTCGTTAATGTAGTATTATCAGGACAAAATTACAGTTTCAAATAAGCTTCATCTCAATATTTGCTTCTGCAAAAGTTTAATGAGTCTTTCAGAGGATAAGAAGGATAAGATAGTAAGATATTGTAGGGTTTGTCTAATATCACAGAAAAGCTTTACTCTCACATTTAAATTTTCGATACTTCAAAAGTTTCGAAGAGAAATCCGATTGGCTACAAGTTTTCATGCTTTTGCTTGTATTTTTTTGCCTCAATTTCTAATAAATAACTCGTGATTGATGAAGCCTGAAACTGTTAATTTATTATTTTAGTGAAAGAAGGTTGTTTGTATGTATTTATAAAACTTGTTTTCGGCCTAATATTTGTTTTTATTTTGTTATCATTCGTATATTCGTTATCATTTGATTTTTTGACCAACAGGAAAGCTACAGGTCGAAAACTTTTAAAACAAAGCTAAGCTTGTTTTTATGTTTTAGCTCAAAGCTTCAAAACAAGCTATCTACGCTCTGTTCACTATGGTGAATCGAACCCTGGATTTTAACATTGTAATTCTGTAAGCGTACTGCTGACCAGTAGGGCGCACTTGGCTTGGGCATTTCATACGTTATAAAAACCAAACTGGACACAGAAAATTGGGTTTTTGGTCCAAAGAGAACGTCACAGTTTTTAAAATTACCGTAAGTACTATCTCCCATAACTAGGAACAAGAAAGTGGTTTTATTTTGGCCACTAGATGGGCATAGGATCACAAAATCTCATTTCTATTGAAGGAGTAAAATACATTTTAAAGGATAAAAACTATGATAAGATAACAAACAATGTAATTACAGATCGCCTAGAACTATGAGAACTGTTTTCTAAAACTAAAGAATGAGTTTACAAATGCAGACTTTGTTATTGATGTATGTGCTCTATTGCAAGGCCTAAAAGATTGAAGAGATTTTTCAACTCTGATCATTACAATTGCCACAGTGTGTAACAAAAAATTGATTCATTTGATTTTCTCGTATAATATCTGATACGGTTATGCAGATTTAAAAGCTGAAAACTGTGCTAGATTATGTGATTTAGATCACAAGAAGTGCTAAAAGCAAATAAGCACGCATAAAAGACTACTTCAAATACATAATAAGATTTGGGCTCATTTATATAACGATAAATAACTAGAAAATGTTGAATCAAAAACATAATTTCGACTATAGTGAAAAATCAATCAGGCCAATAATTAAAATTATCAACGGGAATATTCTGGCAATGATTTAACAAAATGAATTTATTTGTTTATTTTCCATAATTTCTTTTTTTTTATTTTAGATGCATAATTTTTCTTAGAAGTATATATATATATATATATATATTTAGGTTTTTACGGGAAAATACCACGTTCATAAACTCACTGTTATGATTGATTATTGATAAATATATTACAATTGTTTATTTGAAGTTAAGCGCAAACCTCCACAATAGGCTATCTGTGCTCTGCCTACCATAGGTATCGAAACCAGGTTTCCCGCTGTGCCGCAAGGGGGCAGTTGTGAAGCAATAGTCTACGAACTTCAAATGTATCCGTTAATTTATTAAATATTTTATGACTTCATTCTGCTAATAATCATCATTACATTATTGAAGTAACAAAAAAAAACTTTATTAATCAGCACTGCTCAATCTTCTATAAGAAAAAACTAAAATATCTGCATGTATTTATTAATAATTTGTTTGTAAATTTTTCTGAATAACCAATATTGCGTTTTTTTATTTGGGAAATCAACCATGCCTGCTTTAAAAAAATGTACTATTTTTAGCACTCGTTAGAAGAGTTGTCAAATTTTATAGATTTGTTTGTTTTTAATTATGCACAAAGCTAAGGGCTATCTGTGCTCTGGCCACCACGGGTATCGAAACCCGGTTTCTAGTGTTGGAAGTCCGCAGACATACAGCTGTGCCACTAGGGGGGGACTTTTATAAATTTAAGTGTAAATTAAGCTAAAACCTTCTCATGCTTTGACTAGGTTTACTGAGTAGGTGAAACTTCAATCATTTTGGATTAATTCGTTAAATACTTTCATGCAACATCAATCAGGCGTTAATTTCCATTATGGAGAAATATATATAAAATAAAAAAAACACAAATTTGCCATCAAATCTTGATGTTTTAATGTTGTTTTTTTCTTGCGTTAGACGATCTATAATGGATTTATATTTTTGGATTCATCTTCGTTAGAGGTAGCCTGTGCATTAGATAACGTCAAAAAGTATTATACAAATATATATTTTAATTATTAGATTCTATAACATGATGGAAATCAACAACATACATTATAAACATATAAACATATATTATACAAATATATATTTTAATTATTAGATTCTATAACATGATGGAAATCAACAAGAATGTAATGAAAACCCGAAATAGATTTTCTTTACGTCAAAAAGTATTATACAAATATATATTTTAATTATTAGATTCTATAACATGATAGAAATCAACAAGAATGTAATGAAAACCCGAAATAGATTTTCTAAAAACCATCGAAACTGGTGAGTTCCTGATTTATTTATTTTTTAGATATTTCTTTCACATATAAAGGGACAACAAA